GTAGTAGTAGTAGTAGTAGTAGTAGTAGTAGTAGTAGTGGTAGTAGTAGTAGTAGTAGTAGTAGTAGTAGTAGTAGAATTTTAGCTTTATTTTACTTCATTTTAAATTTGTAGTATTACATAGAAATTTATAACAATTATATTATATACATAAAGCTTACAGCTATGGCATGTTAGCCGTCTGCCCCAGTATAACACCCTTAAGTTTGGATCTATCTATAGCAAACTTGTGAACCTATATTTCTTAATTGTAACTTGTATTCCTTTATTACTTACTTACATATCTGAAGTAAACATCGAGATGAATAATTACTTAACTATATATTTTAATTACACAATTTACCAGTACCAATATCCATATTAATCTATCATAATTATAGAGAAAATTTGATTATAAATTGTTCTTAGTAGGTTGTATTCCTTATATTCTATAGGTAAATACAATAACTTTCTAATATTCCCAAACACTCAATCCAAATTTTCCTACCAACTACGTGTAATTAAGCTCATTTATTTTGCTGTTAAGTATCTTAAAACTAATTTATATTTTGTGTAGATTTTTAGATTTATCTTTGCAAAATTCTATGGCTATCAAGCACTTAGTTGAATAAATATATTTTGCCTTTACCCATTGCAAAATATTCAATACTAGTAATTATGCTAATGAAGATGAAAAAAAAATTATCTGAAATTAATGGTTTTCATGTGTGAAAATTTGTGGCAATTTACAAGATGAGGCTGCTCTGGAATTAAACTCATAAAAAACTTATAATATAATATAATGAATTTTCACTTTCAATTGCATAAATTGAAAACAGTTTTCATGACTCAATTCACTTTCATAACCAAGTGGCACAATTTGCATTTTTATACAATCCGCAGCGGAGCGGTTTTCATCTTCGAAGGTAACAGAGAAGTGCACTTGAATATGAACTCAGATACATTTCGCCAACAATGAGTAATTTCTGTAATTTCATTGAAATAATAAATAAAGGGAAAATTTCTTTGTGACATTATTGGAATGCAACAAAAACACACAAACCGTGTTGCATGCACGATTTGACTCCTCGAGTCAAAGTACCTTTAACATAACATATCTTAGATAGTTGCAATTGTCGATGGGTGCTAAGAAAATGCTTTTACCATTTTTAAATATGCAGTCAAATACCTCAAATGATTATTTTGCGATTATAAATACTCGTATCATAAGAAATGCATATTTATTTCTTGTAAAACTCATCATCAGTGGGTAGTAAATGTGAAATATATGATTACTGCCTTGAGGGACTATTAAAAAATTAATTTTATGATATGTTGTTTTATAGACTGCCTTGCGCGGAGTGACCCAAAAGAGTAAAAGTAATGAGCAATAATAAATTGCAAAGTTATAAATATTTAACAATAAAATTTTTACAATAAATCATTAAAATTTATTTTACTTACATTATGTTTTTAGTTGTAAGGTAAGGTATTAAATTTCTAAAGACAACCAATGAAAAATTTTCGTTCATCAGTAATTAAAACAAATATCATGAATATATATATTTAGACTTAACTTCATAATGCTCAAACTTAAATCTGAAAAACCATATTCAAACGGAGATATCCAAAAGTATCACTGATCGTAACATATTGCTAAAACTCACCATCATCTGATTGCTTTGTCAAGCATTGTTGGAAGAGTACTGGTCACTCTTAGTGTACTATTATAGTAATATTTCCTCACTCTTCCTACTATATATGTGCACTTCTATTAGACGTTTGTGTAATGTCTATGCATAAACATAAGCTATAATAGAATTTATTTTTTTTTTTAAAAGCATTCACCTATCCGAACGACCTAGTATATTCGCTATTATACGCGAAAGGAACTCTTAAAATTTTCCAATTTCATTATTGCACTTCTCTTCAAGTGCCTCTGTTACACGTATGCCTTCTCGAGTCTAGTTTTTCAATACTTTCTTAACCTACTCACTCTACTAAAGACTTACGTTTTCTTTCTCCAACTTCTGCTTTAAAGAATGTTTATACTTAAATATTATTTTTAATTATTTTAATATACCTAAACCAGCAAAGCCGTAGTTAATAACCTGATGCTGCACTCCTCTCCAACTGTGTCTTCTTAATGATCTCTTTCTCCAGTCTCTTTTAGCACAGTTAATACTACGTCAACTTACTCACTCACATATATGCCTTCTCCATTCTCGTGCATCAATATTCCATCAACCTCTTCACTCCGCAAAGCAAACTTAATTTTGTTTTATGTCTTCTTCTTCCAACTGCTGTTCAAAGAGTTTTTTGCTGCATGCATCATTTTCTCTCATTCTCGCCACATTATTTAACCAACAAATTCACTAACTATTAACTATATAGGTATATGATAATATATGTCATATATAATAACAATACATGTATATGACAATATTTATATATGGACTTTTTATAAAACACAAACATTAGAATTAAAAAAGCACCTTTTGTAAATTTATTTTTTTATACTTTATTATATGTTCTTTTAGTACAGTTAGCTGGCACTTTGGATATTGTTTATTTTAATATGTAGAGAGTAAGCCAACTGCAGAAGTTTAGTTTTAATGGCGACAGAGCTCCTTTTCTGTCCAAGTACCATATACCGCATACATAAATATGACATTTAAATTACGCGATTGATAAATATTATTTTTGAAAGGAACTCACTATTTAGAATTATATGAATTTATAGCAAATATGCCGCAAAATATTCGATAGCGAAGTTTTCTAATTATCGTTCGATAGTATTATTTAAGAGAAATAAAATGTCAATATATCATAAAAAAAAAACGTTGATAAGGTTTCAAAAGATTGACAACCATATAAACATAACTTCAAACATTTAAAAAGATCGAAGAAATCTTCAAAATCAAAAAATATAAGCTAATTTATGAAGTCTGATATTATAGTCACAACTATATTGACTATATAGTCAATATAGTCATATTAAAGTCTAATATCATAGAACCGTAACCTAAACCAGTCCACATAAACAAAATATTTACAAACAGAAGCTAACCGACATCGACTTTAATAAAACAACATTAGAGTAAAATTTTCAGTCAGTGGTTTAACAACTGTGGACTAACCACAAATTAAATTTCATAGTGCTATAACATACATAACCTATTTTTAGTATCAATCGACAACGTATATTTGTTATATTCTTTAATAATTAATGTAATCATGTAATGATCTTAGAAAAGTACATGGCATAAGAATTGATAATACATGGTTTTATATATACTGATGAGATTATGACCGAATGTTGATTATGAATGAAGAAGAAGAAGAAGAACGGATTACAATAGATTATGTAGAATGAAGACAAACTAAAACATTTTTAAGGTATGACAGGCTCCTCGGGGAGATATGCAGATCTGAGGTCAATTATTGCTTAGTCTGATGAAGTGATAAACAATAATCTAGTCAAGATGTAAAGAGGGGTTTTGAAAATTTCTCAAAGAGTTAAAAAAGAGTATAAGTGCTTAAGTACACTAGCTCAAAACAGCTTCAACATAATAATAAAGTATGACAGAAATTATTTTTGAATTTGAATTTGTGATCGTTCCATACTCTTAAGTACTCTTTAAGACCTTTCAGTGCTTACAAATAATAGTTTTTAAGAAATTGTTGTTTTTTTGTAACAGCTCACTGGTTAAAAATTTTTTTCTCTAAACTACAGTTAGAAAAAAATATCTTGCAAGTTCCTAAGCTAGTTAGAGTTTAACTCAATATTAAAAGCGTTGCGCTCAACGCTAAGCAAAGTGATATCTAGAACCTCTTTTGCAGTTCGTACTTTCGTCACCACTTGAAAAAACAAAGAAGGGAGCTAGATATACAAATCTTACGTATATGTATCTATATCTTTAGTATTACTTTAACTGTTTTCCTTTACTACTCATTCGACTGTACTCATTCGTATGTGTTCTAAATTTTTTATGTGTTCATAAACTGTTAAGTGAGTAAAGTACATTTACTCACTTAATAAGTCCTATAATTAAAATGTACATAATTAATTAAATAACTACTATATACAGTAGTAGTAACAGAGTTACAAAAATAAAGAAACACAGAAAAAATTTCAAAGATTAAATATCTTTCTGCAACGTTTTGCATCTTTGCTATATGAATTCAGTGCAAATTTACTTAAAAAAGACTAGAAAAAATGTCTGTTATTTACTGTGTAATTTTCATATTTCATATTTTTCGTCATGTTGTATGCTTTTGTGACAGTTATAATAGTTTGCAAAAACAACAACAATAATAACAAAAAAAAATACCAAATACCAAATAACAACAATTAAATACGAACTACAAAATAACGTCACTTGCAACCACAAAACGTAAAGATACTCGCGCACAACCTAAGAATGAAAGTTTATTACTTTCATCTGTTGGATACGAAAATTTAAATGATTTCGTTGTGTATCTACAAACTCACGACAATATCGCACGAATATGCGAGTTTTAAATTATTTTTCCTAAATTAACTCTTTAATTTCTAATGCATTTTTATTATGAAAAAAGGTAACGCATTCTTTCTAATTTTTAAATATTTTTTTTTCCATAAACATATGTATATGTATATTAATAAATTTTCTACTTTTTCTTTAATATTTTTAACAAATCTATCTATGTTGTCTTCAAATCTCAATATTTGCTATGAATATTTTGAAAAAAAAAGTAACTGTTACTAGAATAATTATCGGTCATTTGGTTGTCGATATAAAGTATCTCATGCCGTGCACACCTTTTGTTCCAGTTAATTTGCCTAACAAATTACAACAATCTTTTATGTTTTCCAACTTTTTTTCTTCTATCTATCTTTAGTTAAACTTTAACTTAGGTTACTTATTCG